CCCCCCCCCCCTTGATTACATAGGGAGCTCAGCTTAATAGTTGCCATATTCCTTACATGTGGTGTAGGGAATTAAAAATACTCAGACAACTAATTTTTATGGATGATAACTTGCTATGTCAGGCTCAGTAGACTTCTTCCACAAAAAACACAAAAGTACCCTAGAAGTGGCAGCTGGATTTCAGAGGCAACATCTGAAACCCCTAGCAGCTTCAATGGGAGTTGTGGATGCTCTTCATTTCTGAAAACCAGACCCCAAATGCTTCCATTTCACACTTTGATTTGAGTATCCTGGCTATTGTGTGGCAAGACAGCCAAGCAGTGTATAAATGGTAAGGCACAATGTTCTCAGTTAATCAGCACTGCTATAAGAGAAATGAAGGGATTCGTAGAGATCTGGAAGGTATGAGGATTCCAAACGAGTCACAAAATTTACCCAGGTTATTTCAGAGAGAGGTAAAAAAGCTTAACTAATTTATGTTCTAATACACAGTTATAAAATCAACAGGTGATTAAGACCCCAATCCTTGGAAAGCCCTTAGTAGCTGTGAAGTCACTGGAAATATTCACATACTTGAGTTACAAATGCATTTAAGTACTGTACAGGGTCTTTTATGACTTTTAAATCTCCTCTCATAAAGGAGGTTCTCCAGTCTCTTGATCTCCTAGTAGCCCTTTTCTACATATTCTAATTTAAATGAAGTGCCCAGAATTGTGAACAACATTATAAATGAGATCTGACTAATGAGTTGCACAATGATATTCATATTTCACAATCTCAAATGAAAATACCTTGCCTGTTACATCCCAGATTAATCAGACAATGTCACGTGTCTGCTCTTTCAATACTCTGTCCCTGGTTTCCAAAGCCTAAGTTTTGCCTCCATCTGAGATACGGTAATTTCCACTACCCTATCGTTGTTCCCAGTACATAATCTACAATTACCGTCATGTATATAATTTATTCATTGATTATCCACGTGATGAAGTATTTGTGTAGCAAGGAGTGAATGTCAAACAAAGCTGTTGGTGGCTAATATGTTCATATTGATAATAGGCAGGCCAAAATGACCTACATAGTTTTGAAAAATTAATCCAATATTTTTTTTTAAAAAAGCAGGTCTCAAAATTAAAATGTAGGTTTACATTTGCTCAAATTCTTTTCATAGTCTAGTATTTCCTAATGCTAATATTTAAATACCGTGTTTCTGTACAGCTCAAAGGTTTGCTTTTAAACTCATTTATGGTGCTTTTGTTTAGATTAAGTTTTGAAACAATATATGTAAACATAATGCTCTTATATATACTATTTAGAAGTAGTTCAAAATAGTTAATTATAACATTCTGAATATAAAAATATTTATTAATGATAGAGTAGAAAAAATGTATTTGGTTGAAGAATGAGCTTGGATTTTTATTTTGCTTTGCAATCTGTTTATCAAAAAAATCCAACTGAGATACACCTGGTTTTCTCAGATATCCTACATCCTAGCCAGCCTGTCTGCTGGCTGAAGTGAGGCAGGAGATGAAGTGACTTCCTCAAGCTTACTTGGAGGAACCAGCTCAGCCAGGAATGACATCTGGGCTAAGGCTACTAGTCATTTCCAGTGATGTGAGACTGTGCTTCCTTCCTTTTTATTTAAAGGGGTCTCATGAAATAGTTTTTTACTGGTAACTTCACCAAAAAAAGGTGAAGAACCTAATTTCCAAATGGGTCTCCAAAATGTGCCCATTTTAGTTCCAGATACATTTGTTTACATGGACGAACACTACAAATGGGGATGTTGTGAACCCCAAAAGTATGACTCCCTGTATTTTAATGCATTAATGTATACCTTCAGCTACTGATACCTTTTCCTATTTGGGGAAAAACTTGTACACTGATGTACTATTTAGCACACACATGTTTTCCTATAATAGTTTGCATTGCTAGATGTTATATTGGTAACCCTTTTCTTTTCCATGATTTAAATTAAGTACAAGTATTTTAAGTTTTAAACCAACTAATGATGCAGCACTGCCTGCCTTCTCCCATACACCCTTTACTACAGATGCCATCTAAACAACTGGCTTATATACATTATCACCCATCATGAATATGCTGGGGTTTTGCACACTACCTGGCCCAACACTAGAAAATACAATTAATGGATTCAGTGCTCTCTATATATCAAGTTACATCACATTTAAACTGGAGAGGAAGCTCTCAGCACTCCAGACTGAGATGAGGGCATGCTCTTCCTATGTTGTTCACATAGTATAATATATTTTTAACATTTTGCTCTTAAATGGTGAACAACTTCTGCATGGGTCTCTGTATGCAATATAGGTACACACGTGCCACAAGCAGGTGTCTGTGAATATGGAGAAGGCACATTCATGACTCCCCAAAAATTTGTCCCCGTATTGCACAGCTCTGATCTGAAACAGACCATGCAGGTGTAGAACTGGGTCCAATCCACAGCATGAATGGATCTAATCCATATGTCTGGAAAAGGGAACAGGTAGGTCACACTGAGTATATGCATCCTGGTCACATCTCCCACTGCAGCTGGGGATGCATAGGCTACTCCAGCCCCAGGGCAACGAGAGCTGTACATCTCATGTTGCTCCAGCTGATGCAAATTGGGAGGGGATAAAAAAAACACTACCTTCTCCAAAGAGCTCGTTAAGCATGTTTAGAATATTTTGTTGGGCTTTGCCTTTCTCTGATCACTGTTGAGATTGGGAGCTTCTCTGCCAGATGAGGCCTTGTCCAGCCCTCTGCTTATCTGTTCCATTTTGGGACCATCTGTTGTGAATGCTAAGTGATAACCAGCAACGTTAACCCCTGGATGTTAGGCAAGCATTGTCACCTCAGCAGCAGCTTTCAGTTCCACCACTGCAATAGTTTCCCTGAAGGAGGGAGGTCTGGTGGGCATGCACGTTCCCCACAATCACTTTTGATTCAGGAGAGTTTTAAGTTTGCCAAGGACCCTGATCCAGAAATGCGCCATAGGCCAGGATATGATCTATGGACAGAGCTGTAACAAAGACTGTTTTAAATAAAGTTAAATCAAATTAAATCAAATACCACTTCTGATAGCCTTACAACAGGAACCAATCCAGTCTTCGTATCTGAATGTCTGCAACAGGACATCCAATTCTTCACTTGGGTGCTCAGAAAAACAGGAACAGCAAGCACCAGCAACAGCCAACTTGGCATGAAATGCTACTGTGAATGCAACCAAATGTGGAAATTAAAATCCTAATTAGGTGTAGGTGTCTGGGTGTGAAAATTAAGCCAACAAATGGTTTTTCTCTTGATGATTTAGGGAACTCAATTGTGGAACTAGGCACACAATTTTAAAAGTGTGAGCAACCCATAGCTAGTAATTTTAAGTGTATTCCTGAAGGTGGAGGGGAAGTTATTGATACTTAAAAAATGTTAACAATATCAATCTGCTAGAAATCTACCCCTTGGTGTTATGACTTAAGTTTTGTTCTCTGTCATCTCTTGCAGTTTCACTGAGGTTGACTGAAACTGTGGCATGTACGGTATGAAAGTTTTAACAGAAGTTTTATACTTAAAGTTATTTTTGATAAAGGGATTTAAATTAGAAGAACTATCCTGAAGAAAACCCAGGTCTTTGAATACATCATGTGTGTCCAGTTTAGGCATTACTCTGGAATTCTCTGTTAAAAAAATGTCATTTCCTTTTTTTTTGATGGATGTTAACCCCAAGTAATAAAGGCTCCGCTCAGGGCTGTCTCCATCAGGAAAGGCGTCATCCTGGTTTGAAGGTTCTGAAAAGCCCTCCGAAGAAACACGGGAAAGGGAGAGAGTTTTGCTGGGTTGGCATGGATGTTGGTCAGGTAATATGAGTAATGCATCATTCCCCACCTCCCAAGAACTACTAGAAAAAGGGGCAGTAACTAAGGAATCTTCACCTGGGAAGCATCCAACAAAAGAACTACTTAGATTATTTTGCTGTTCATAAAGCCCATTTGATTTGGAGTTACTCATAATTGTAGCATATTTGATGTTGGACTGCCTCGTATCTCCTTCCTTGACTTGGCCATCATGAGAATCCCCAGATAAACTGTTACTATTGAAATGGCTGCTAGAACAAGCAGAGTCATGCTCTGAGTCTTGAATCTTTGTGAACACTGAATTGACTGCTAAAAAATCTTGCTTGTCTTCATTTTTCAGAGCTTTAGCAACACTGATGTCTTCCAATACTATTTCTGGCTCCAGTAGAAGAGGCCCAAATGACACTGCTCCGGGATGCTTGATAAAAAGGTGCTCAAAAGTTTCAGGCTAGAAAAAGAGACATATTTTAGTGCTCATCTCTTATTTAATGGCTATATTTCCAATATAAAGCTACTTTACTTAAGAACCACAGCTGACAAGTAATATTGTATCTTTAAACATAAAAGTACGCATTTGAAATAAGAAAACAACATCTGCTCTCTTCCTGCGCTTTGTGTGAGGAGGTGGAGAATGGCGACAGGGGAGGCAAACACATGTCCCAGGTATATAATGCCGAGTGTTTAGTAATCCAGCCCAAGAAAGCAAAATACTTAAGCAAGGATTTGACTTGAAGAATTAGCAGTCCAATTAATTTCCATTGTATGTATTGTAACATATACTTAAAATTAAATAATACTTAAATGCTTTGCAGGCGCGTGCCCTATATTCAACAGGATGTCTTGGTATTTTCTTTTAAATGCATGGACAATTCAACACATTAGAGAAGAATCAAAACCACTTACTAACACCTGAAATAACTTTTCCTATTTTTAAGGTAAAATTCTGCCCTTCACAACTTTTAGAAATTCAGTATTTCAGTAATTCCTGTGTGAATAAAGACTGAACATCTGTCTGCCTAGGCACACTTTTATTTTAGCTCAATACAGGGGTGGAACCAGAGTAGCAGCCGCAACACACTTTGGCTGTGCCACGTGTGAGCTCTCAGTGCAGGGTCTGGCTGGAGCCCCTGTTTTCACGTGGCTCTGAAGCAGAGGGTGAGTGCTACCACTGCTAGTCCTTTCCTTTCCCCTACTGCTGAATTCAGGGGGAAAGGGAGGAAGGGGAAGAGTAAACAGCAAATTTTCATCCTCTGGGTAAGCTCACTGGTGACAGAGCTCAGCAGAAGCCCCTGCTGACCAAGCAGTGAGTTCACAGCTCACTGCATGTGCATAGCGCAGCCAAATTGGGAGGCTACACCCTCCAGCCCTGTTCCTGGATCCATTACTGGGTAAATGCACCCATTTGTCACATCATAAGGGAACACAAACTGTATATGCATGTTTAAAAAGGCCACGGTATAAGCTGATAAAAGGAAATTCATATTTTTATTTGTATTTAGCACTAAGAAATGCTCACTTTAAAATGCATACCGCCTAATGAGTTTAATTATGACAAATAAGAACAGAAATAGTTAAGAACGTAGATTCTGTTTATGTTAACAAGTCATACAGATGATATATCACAGCAGGAAATCTGTTAAAGCAACTAGGAACGTGTCAAAAACTTTGCTTGGTACATGTTGTAAGAAGATATGGTACTAATGTACCTAATCTTAGGCTATTTTTAGATTAGACTAGCCATCAGTAGAAGCTAAGGCCATGATTTAATAAGGTATTTAAGCATGCTTCCAACTTCACTGGGGGGACTCGAATATCTAAAGCCCTTTGTGTGCTTAGATATCTTCCTGAACTGAAGCCAAGTGACTGCTTTGGCATGGATTCTGCATTGCTCACACACTCAGAACTCTCCTGGTCTTCAAAAGTATTAGAAATAGTCTGCATTTAAAATTAGGAAGCTTAAAGCTGAAATAAGCTTTAAGCCACTGCTACAGTGTATATACCAAGCAGTATATTTAATTTATATTGAATGTGACTTGATGAAATGCTTCCCTCTTTATGGCAGATCATCTCTGAATTAAGGAAGGAACAAAACTTCTCCACTCAGTTTAATACCTTAAATCACAAATAGTGGCTAATGTAAGATACTTGAAAAAAGAAACCCCACATCTGTGGGCATCTGTGGGATAATCTCCCAGCAGGGAAGTTTCTGCCCCACAATAACTAGCTAAAACATAAGGGTTTAAATGATTCTGCACAAGAGCTCCTTGTTCCATCTACTGTCATGCTAGTGTAACTGTAGTTAAGGATGTCTCTACAAAATCCCATCAAGAATATTGCCTACAAACATATCGGATTTAAAAACAGAGACTTCATTTAGTAAAGGTCACCATCTGCTGAATCAAAACACATTGCTTAGTAAAACATGTTGGATATTTAATCAAATACAATGCACATACAATCTCCTGAGGAAATGTAATACTATATAAAGTAAATACTTACAGAGAAAGATGGGTAAATATGCTCGGAAGCACTCTCTCAATGTGTGCACATCATATGGTTTGGGCAAAAATATTTTTACAGCAGTCAACATAATTCCATGAAACCAAAAGAAGCATTCATGGGCTTATGCCATTGAGAGTACAATTAATTGCACTCATTGGCCAGAAACGGGGAGGTTTCAAAACATACTAAGGACCTAATCCTGCCATCCTTCGGCTCTGATCCTGCAAAGGCTTATACATCTGCTTAACCTTGTCAGTGGACAGACATGTATTTGTAGCATGACAAGTGCTGCAGCACTTGGAAGGGCTACCAAAAAGGTAGCTGCGTGAGACACAGACAGAAGTGCAGAGCCCTCCAGCTGAAGCACTATAGCCACTGCAAAGGCATCTGACAACATGCTCTTCAGCCAGGCAGCAGCTTGACCCTACTTCTTTGCTCCCATCCACCCCCACTGGAGCTGGAGCTCCCTCTAGGCCTGGGCTGTCTGAATGGGACAAGAACTAGGTCCACCCACAGTGGGTTTGCAGCTCTACTCAGTGCAGGCAAGCCCAGCACCATGCCAACAACCCAGTCTCAGGGGGGCCACAATCCCACTCACTGCAAGCAACACAGGCCCCAGTCCTGTATTCACAGGAGGTGCCTGTACGTGAGTGCACAAGCTGCTCCAATGCACTGCAATGACAGCACATCAGAGCAGGCTCGGTTAATTGAGTCTGCTGGAGTGTGGTAATTACCATGCTCCAGCAGCCTCATGTGTCTCATGTATCAGTGTCCATGCATTTCAAAATGGCAGGTGTCTCAGAGCCACTTTAATTAAAGTGCTGCCCCCCTGACCACGTGTAAAAGTGCCCAGGGGAAGCAGGCAGGGGAGCAGGCAGGTGTGCTCAGTGATTCTCCACTCTGCTCTCTCCTCAGAGCTGGGGGAAGGGGTGGGAACAGAGCACTGTAGGATGTCAGTAAACCACGAGACCGAAGTGCTACAATGCACAGGACAGACACTACCTATGAAGCTCCAAAATGTAGCACTAAAGGGAAGTTCCTGTTTTGTCCAGGAACCACTTCCGTAGTGCTACTTTGGACATCACACGTCAGTTCCTTTGACTACTGTAGCACTACGGGGCAATTACAGTGCTAGAAATGTAACATCTATCCACACATTTCTGCACAGTGAATAATCATATTGGCTTCTTTGGGTCTGCACATACGTGTATAAATCATTGCAGGATCAGTGCTACAACTTAGCTGTAAGGCCCACAGCATTAGGTGCTATGATCCAGTCCCACAAATGCTCATCAACATGCTAATCCTTAAGTATTTGAGTAACTTCATTGAATAACTTATAGAATTACTCATGATCTTAACATTAAGCTTATGTAAGTTTTTGCAGGATTCCAGTCTAAATGCAGGATTTACTGATATTAAGCTGTACTGCATATGCACAGCTTTTTGTACTGCACAGCAAGGTGGCATAAAAGCAACTCTGATTTCCTATGCAGCACCATGTGCTTTATAGTTACATGGATAATTTCTTTTTGCCTTAGCTCTGGACTCAAAAGAACATGCAAATATACAGTTATGTGATGGAGGGTTTTGTCAGTTTGTTCACTTCTGCCAGACTGATTTAGATTTGTAATTTCTGTGAGTGGTATACAATAATTAGGTCCATAGCTCCAGATGCAACATGCATGTTCCATGAGCACATGTTAACTGGGGTCATGGTAACTGAGACGAGTTTCCCTTTTTAAAGGTAACTATATTAAAGAGATTAATAACAATTTCTTGGCAACTCGCATCTGCACTACTCCCAACAATTAACAAGACTTTGTGCAAAGCCCTGCAGCTGAGTGTATTCCAAACTTGTAACTTTTTTTGCTCCTTCTGCGGAGTTATTTAGTTCAATGGCCCCGAACAAAACCCAGTGGAGCTTACAGACTTCCACAGAGATCCGTAAGTTCTGGATCAGGCTTTCTATCACAAATTCCTTGAACTTTTTGAAGAACTTGATGTTATTCTTTGCATTCTAACCATACTTTACCATTTAAAACAAAAATAAAAGAACAAAAGCTGTAAATAAGTGTTAGCTGTAAGCTGGAAACAATGATTAATGAAGATTACATTAAGCAGATTTTGCCATATTAAGACCAATACTAGTTTTTGTTTCTTATTTGTTTCTTATTTCCTGGCTAAAAGGATCTAGTTGGGAATGGTCCTGCTCTGAGCAGGCAGTTGGACTAGATGACCTCCGGAGGTCCCTTCCAACCCTAATTTTCTATGATTCCATGATTTTTAAAGTCTCCCATTAGATTTTGACTGAACTGGCTCTGTTATGCAACTACGTATATTCAGACAATAACTAAATAACTGTATAAAATATGCACATGGTCCTTCTAATAGAAAACCAAGGCACAACGGACACAATTATTTCTGCAAATCTTAAAATTATGCACTCAGATGCACATACACAGTGGTGGATCACCTTTCTGGGAGCCACA